AGGATCTGCCGCCCCCCCCCTCCTCCCCAGATGTAGAGGGAGTTGTCATCTGCAGCAGCCGTGTACACAGTAGGTTAACCTTTTGTTGGTTCTCTTTTCGTCTCGCTGCGCAGATGTTGTGTCACGAGTAGAACTTGGTGAAGGTTGTCAGCTCAAGTGCGTAAACACTTGAAATGAGTCCGGGCTCGTATCTAATCAGGGGAAGGTTTCGGGAAGTTTTCTGACGCCTGCGTACGTTCACATTGTAATCACAGTTGCGTTCGTTTTCAGGCTAACGAATGCATCAGGCGCACGACGGCCTCACCCTTAGGTTCACCCCCCCCCCTTCGCCCTGGTGATGATTTCAGTGCAGTGGCCATGCATGCTCCCTCTGATCTCCGTTTTCTGTTTGTATGGTGTACTTGAGTAGAGGAGGGTCATTACAAAGGCCCTTTGTAGAGCAACTCGTGTGCCTGTCTCTCACTGTGGGTTTCTGCTGCTGCTTCGTACGTCGTACTTAGAATTGCAAATGCGGGTCGAGTGCGACAGAGTGTTTTTTGTATTGTTTGTCTCAACATTTGACAAAATGTCCCACAGACCTGGTAGGATTAGTAGATTCAAAGAGGTTTTTAAATGAGATTGTACTGTTCACCACCCCCTCTTTGACATTCGTACATCAAATGAAGATCAGATTTGCATTTCAGAATAGAATTTAAAACACGGCTCCTTTTTGTTTTTTTTAAATCACTTTTCACCACATGTACGTGTTTGGTTAAATGTTTAGTTATGTATTATGAGATGTGTTTTCTGTGCTGCTGCTCATTATCTCTGAACTTCTCCTTAAAATAAGAATGAGTTTAATATTTACAGTCAACCTTTTTCCTCATTCAGTCAAATCTATCAAGGTTAGGCAGATATACTCGAGTTTCTCTGAAATAAATCCAAAGCAGTGACGCGTTTGAGTCAGTGTGAGGAGGTGATTTTCCCATTGTTCATATTTTTCAACAGTCACAAGACAGAACAACACAAAAATAAATAAAACTGAGAACAGAACAGAACAGCTTTCTGTATAACTGAAGGCCTTAATGATGCATTTATCATTTATAGTAATAATCCTGCTTCTCCGATTGTTTCGAGAAACGACGTGTGTCTTCGTCACAAACATTTTCACGGCTGTGAAAATTCTTCTGACTGCCAGTATTTTCTAGGCCACGTACGCCGTCTAAAGTGTGTCAGGCTGATGGAGTTGATGATAGGTCGATCTCCGTGGCCTCTCTCCTCCGTATTGTAATGAGATGAAGTTATTTGTGGAACTGAAACTCTACCGAGTTTCTGTGAGTCCACCACGGTTCCACACGGAGTCTCGTGGGTCAGATTTAGCAGGTTTTTACTATAACTTACTTAATTATTCTTTTTCTGCTACAACTCTGCGAAGCACTGATCTGAATTTCTGGAGTTTAGGAGTTTATTGCGGTTTCCTTCAGCTCTTGTTGATTTTTGTTTGTGTTTTATTAAAGGCAACGCCCCTATTGTCATGACAGCTGAAGTCCCATGGCAGTGGGTGGGAAAGAGACCTCATTTTTTTGGCAGGGAAACGGCATTTTAATCTGCTGATGTCAGTAATGGTTTCTGGTTGTAGACACTGTACCGACTTCAGCTTGTTCAATAGCTTCATTACTTCAGTTACCGTCTTTTGGTACAAATGGAGAAAAGACTTCCTGTGAGTCGTTGTTTGTGTCTGACTAAAGGCAGTGCTAAGGAGAGTGTACAGTAACACCTTGAGTCAAATAAAACATTATTGTAATAGTGAAACTATGGATGTCGGGTGAATTCATTCCAATCCGGTTTTAAAAATTATTTTTAATTTCGTTTAGTTTAGTTTATTCTTCTTCTGGAAAGTCCCTTTTTGTGTCTGTGGCAACTATCAGACAAACACAAGCACAACAAATGACGTTACAGTTAAACACAGACATTAAACAGTGTTTGTGCTCCACAACAACATCACCAAGGATCAAGGATACGGATATTCTCCTCGACACGGGGCAATTTGGATAAAGTTAAAGCTTGTTAAGATTCAGCGAGCTCAAGTAGGTTTTCGTCTGTAGCTGAAAATGACACAAAGATCCTCTGTCTCACGTTGTCCTTCCTTCTCTGTCCTGTCACAGACCCTTGTGCTGTCCAGTGAAGTTGCCCACCATGCGTGAGTATAAGCTAGTGGTGCTGGGATCAGGAGGCGTGGGAAAATCAGCACTGGTGAGTGATCGCTGCTGCCGTGGGTGGGAATCCGCATCGCCGATACCTCAGTTAACATGTTTATTACAGTTTTATAGTAAAATATGTTATTGGCACAATTGTGATGCAGTTTACAAAAACTTGGAGTGCTTTTAAATGAGAAGACCAGTTAGTTTTAAACAGAAATGTATTCTGTAAAATGGTAGGTGCTTTCTTAGCGATACAAGTTGTGGTACAGGGTTTTATTCTGCAGATAAAATGTTCAAGGATGTAATATTTCAAGAGGCCACAATAAATAAAAGAGAGACTAGGAACAAGCCTGAGTCATGAGCTATGCAGCTTCAAGAATATAAATTACCCTTGTTAAGAAATTAAACTGGCGTCTAGTCAGAGACTAAAGTTGAATCATAATATTTAAATCAACAATAAGTGTATTTTTATTTTGGGAAATAGAAGTAGTACAAACTGTGAACATTACATGAGAGTTGATACATTTTTAAATAATGAAAAACTAATGTTTCCTTTGTTTTATTTGTCCATTTCAGACAGTCCAATTTGTGCAAGGCATTTTTGTGGAGAAGTATGACCCGACAATAGAAGACTCCTACAGAAAGGTAAGCTCAGGAAACACACTTCATTTGACCTCCTGAACTTTGTAAAAGCAGTTCAGTGATTGGTGGTTTAAATGCCTCCACTTGTCTCATAGAAAGATAACCTGTTTGTTTTTTCTCCAACAGCAAGTCGAGGTTGACGGGCAGCAATGTATGCTTGAAATCCTCGACACGGCTGGAACAGTAAGTCAAGTCAGACACGGGTATCAGATGGACGGGTCTTACAGTGCAGACAGGCCCCGCTGATGGCCTTTCCCCTCTGTTGTTGTTGTTTCTATAGGAACAGTTCACGGCTATGAGGGACCTGTATATGAAGAACGGCCAAGGTTTTGCTTTGGTGTACTCTATTACAGCGCAGTCGACATTTAACGACCTACAGGACCTCCGGGAACAGATCCTGCGAGTAAAGGACACTGAGGATGTGAGTGTTTTATTCTTTTAAAACGTCACACTTGTTGTTATAAACTAACTATAACTAATGAGGTGAGTGATTGTACAGCAGGAAATATGAACCATGGTAGGATCGCATTAAAGTTCTGTAACTTTATTCACTTTATTAACTTTATTAATTTTATACAATAGGTCCATATTAACATACTAATACACGCTTTTTATTTTTTATTCATTGTTTGGTCGATAAAACACCACAAAGTAGTTTTAAAAAATTGTTGTAGTTTCTTATGTGTCTTGTTTTACCAAAAAATAATGAATTTACTAAAATGGAAGACAAAAGCAACAAATTCTCACAGTTGAGAAGCGCGAATCATCGAATGCATTTTTCCTTGAACAATTACTTAAACAATGAATCAATTATTTAAAAGAAGTTGTTGCTTGATTAATCAATTAATTGGATAAATGTTTCAGGTCAAACAAATGACTGTTCAGCTTTGTGACGAGGCATTTGTTTCTGATGGGTTTTCAAATGTTTATTAGCATTAAATGTGGGAACATTTTCCCCAACCAATAAAGAAACTTTTAACTTCTATCAAATGAATTTCCAATGAATAAACAAGCAGTGAACAAACATTGGATCCACTCTTCAATCCAAGTAAAAAATTTGAATAGTAGGACATAAATATAGAAGGTAAATGATGAAGAACAGGAGAATAAATAAAAAGGACTAAAGGAACACACAGTCAACACATTTAGAGATGTGTGTTTGTCCTCAGACAACAACAATAAGTCAGTATATAGTTACATTATCATTTCTATACAACCCACCAATTCTTTAAGGCTCCTCCTCAGTCTGTGGAGAGTTTCCCTTCTGTGATAACCTTTGGTGTTTCTCTGTATAATTCCTGTGTCGCCTCTCAGGCTCATCGCTCTCTCATTAAAGTCTGCTCTGTGGGAGAGAGGGCAGATCGAAGGGGGGCAGGAGCTTTGTGACAGGGTGGAAATGTCAGAGCTGTTGTTAGATGCTACCTGCCACTTTCAGTCTTGGTCTCTTCATCTCTTAATTTAGAGAGAGGATATACAGCATGCTGAGTGCTTGCTTTATTTATTCATAGCAAGTTGCTTGGTCTGTGTCTTGGCTGAGGTCTAGCTTTGCTAAAACATTTTGCTGTTGAATATATGCTTTAAAAACAGGGTGATGAAAACATCATGTTGTAGACACTTACACATTTATATTTGGATGGTGTTGTATGAAGTGAGATACAGAAGCAGTATGAAATGCAGAAGCAGTATCTTACTTCGACATTTCTGGTAATCAATCTAGGTTCCTATGATCCTGGTGGGAAACAAATGTGACCTGGAGGACGAGCGTGTGGTTGGCAAGGAGCAGGGTCAGAACCTGGCCCGTCAGTGGAACAACTGTGCCTTTTTAGAGACTTCAGCTAAATCAAAGATCAATGTTAATGAGGTAAGTGCTACGACTGGACCACCTGCGGCGTGTATGGCATTGGCAGAGGGGTTCAAGTGCAAAATCTGTGACAAATCTTCACCAAATCTTAAAAGATCAAGAAAATCTGAAAATATTCACATTGAGACACTAAAAACAAGAGAGTTTTAGCTTTTCTTTAATTGAAAAATGGCCATAAATAATCAAAATAGTTGCCTATTAACCTGCAGAGCTAGGATTCATGCAATGATATGCGACACATACATATATATATATATATATATATAGCCTCGCTTTTCCCCCCCGATGTTGTTAACACTTGTGTTTTGTACTTAAAGACAATGTTGTTTTTTAGTTTTTGCCAAATAAATTAGCAAATACAAGTGTACCACTGCACAAAAGACATTTTTTGAGCCCTTCTAGTCATCATTATGCTGTTTCCATAAGTGCAGGACTTGTATATTACAGTGAAAATTGAGCCTAGAATGAGTAAAAATGTGATAGGAGCAAAAAACAAACAGCCAGAAACCTGCTTGATGTTCAGAGGGTTAATCTTCTGTAGATTAAACAACTAATTGTTAAAGCTCTGTGGCTGTCTCACACATTTCTGCTTTTACAGTGCCAGAAATGTGTGTTTATATTTATAGTTCCCATAATATCCTCTTCTTCCATCTGAAATGCATCAGTGACTTCTCACTGCAAGATGTCGGTTCTTTCTTCTGTGCTGAAGCAAAAATGTTGAAATCGTGCAACTTTCTCTGTGGTAGATTTTCTATGATCTGGTGCGACAGATCAACAGAAAAACGCCGATGGAAAAGAAGAAGACAAAAAAGAAGTCAAGTTGCACAGTGCTCTAAATGCCCTCCCACAGTAGCTCCAGGCCAGGTGAGTGGGTGTTGAAACCAAATTTATTCCAGACTCACTGAGCTCTCTGGATTGTCACTGAACATTTAGAGATTCAGTGCAGTAATTATTAAAGCAAAGCATGTCTTGTTGTTGCAGTAACAGGATAAAGCGTCACTGATGTCCTTGAAACGGTGATGTCTCATAAAGCATCTCTGTAGGTTTAAAGAGTAAATCGTTTGGAAAAGGCAGATGAATGATTGAACGTCTTTTCATGTGTACTGATGAAAAGAAGAAAAACTGGAATCGATGTGTGAAAATCCATTTTAGGGCTTCACCTTTTTTTTTAATTTGATCAAAGATGGTTTAAAATGTTTTATGTAAATTAGTCAATCTGAAAGCCTTTCATGGATGTTGTGGCTCCACCTGCTGTTGGAACATTTACCAGCCACTGTTTTCATGCCCTACTGTGTTTGTATGTGTTTTCCCTCTAATGTAAGCAATTGGTTTGGTCTTTTAATATTAAAATCAACCTCGCTTGGTTGACACATGTAATCCATCACAGAGAATATCACGCTGTGCTGACTGATCAGAGGAAACTACGCTGCCTTGGATCACCGTCGTAATGTCAGTGAAGGCAGACGTGATGTTCCTTGTGATGAATGAAGTTTTACACCTCAATATGTAACGAAACCAATGTTTATAATCAGAAAACACGACGGCGTGCTTTATTAAAGGATGGGTTCACTGTTGTTCAAGTCTGTCCTGAAACAGTAGTTAGGGGCCCACATGGACATAGAAGCAGTGTTTTTAGTACAAAAGTCCCACTTTGTGATACTGTCCCTGCACTGCAGCTCAGCAAGGAAACACTTTCCAGGTAAACACAAAGGGATTTTTGTACTAAAAAGACGTTGGAGGATATCCACTTGAGTTGTCTAAATCAGACGGCTGTCAACTTAACTTTAGACACATTTTGTAATAAATTTATGGCACAGAACAAAGATTTTGTCCCCTCATTGCATTCAATGGGGATGTTTCATTGTTCATATGAGCACCTGAATATTGTTTTAAGACTGAACAATGAATATATCCTTTTAAGTGTTTGATTAAAGGGACATAACATGTAAAAATACTGATGTGTTAAAGTCCAGTGAAGGTTTATTAACAGATCTGGCTCTGAGACAGAGAACAAAAAGGTTTGAGACGATGAATGTTCAATAGTGGACTGTAGTCATTTCTTAGTGTGTTATGAGCTGAGAGGATGTGTTCTGTGAAGGGAATTGAACTCTTGTTAATAGCTGTTGTTAATCGCACCAGGATCAACTCCCAAAACAGATTCTCTAAAACACTGATCTCAGACTACCAGCCTGAGGTCCAGATCTGGCCAACAAGACAGTTTTCTATGGCTTTCATTTTAAAATAATCATTTAATTTTCTATAAAAGCTGCAGAATTGGAACAAAACAATTGACTTTATTTGACATTTAACATTTAGCAAGCTGCAGCAGAACCACACTGATTCACTGTGGCACAGCCTGAACCAAAATGTCTCTTTAAACCTGAAAGAATATTTTTATACCTGGTTATATTATCGTTGAGATTTAGTGCAACTACTTCCTCTCTCATATGCAAGGAGGCTAGAACGCTATTCTGTAAGGATACAATATCAGAGGCATTACTTGACTAAACATCCAGAGCAGTGCGACGGGTACAGGGCAGGACAGAAATATAAATTATTGATGGAAAAACAAACACTGGAGTATTTCAGTGTTAGACTGAGGCTCTTGTTTCTCTGCATTCACTTCATGTTCTACACAATGTTTAATATGCACTGATGTTGTTTTTTGTTTGTTTGCAGAAACTTGTAATGATTAACTGTTTCCCATTGGATCGTGTGCCAGCATTCCCAAGTCCTCTCCAGAGCATTTTGAAAAAAGGCTGACAGAGATACTTCACCACTCGCAAAATGGCAGGAGACGGCACATACTCTCTCTTCTCTGCTTTTTTTTAATGGCAAAGAAATCCACCTCTTCTTTGTATTGGCAGCCTGATGACAACTCTGTTTTTGTTTTGTTTTTTTTAGTTTTTCTCTTCTCCAATGTGTCTTTTCTTTTGGAAATATCAGTATAAAAGAAGAAGAGGCCATGGGTTTAAATCCATATACGGGAACTAAAAAAAAAAAAAATGTTTTTATTGAAAGTAACATCAATCTTTGGCATATTGTGACAATACGTTTGCAAAAGAAAACATGTGAAATGTTGGCCTTTCTCATACATTTCTGCACTAACAGTGTCAAAGATGCATCATTGTCCATAAGTTACTTGCTCTTACTTACAAGGATGTGTATTGACGAGATAACATCTTTCCTAAGTGACTTTGTTTTATATTGAAAGCTGCAAGCCTTCCATATTTCCCATAATATATTCTACTTCCATTTTTGCATAATAAAGCTAAGGAAATTAGTATTTTATAGACTGACGGGGGAAAAATGGTGTGTTCTGATTTGTGTCTTGAGGCTGAAAATATATTGTACTAAACCAACTCTAATATTGCTGTCACAGATGATTTTCCAGCTTTTATGAATGATTAAATTTTTAGTACATTTTCATTATTTTCGGTCTTTTTTCTTATTTATATTGTTCAATGGCTTAAGTGTGTGTTTTTTTTGTGTGTGTGTATCTAATTGTGAAATATAATTCTTGCTGTTTGTGGGCTTCAGCTGCAGGATATGAACCAAACCACCTTTAATGGTTTTATAAATATGTGTTTTCTCCACAGCAGACAAAAGCTGACGTTGGTGATGTATTAGTAAACTTCTGGTTTCTGTATTTTATCAGGACACACATTAGTGACCGGATCGATACCTTCAAGAGAGCCTCGACAGGCCTAAAGTGTTTCTTATTGGCAGAAGTGACAGCCTAAACCCAAGTCACCAGAGTTTCAGGAAAGGAGTTGGCTCAGCTGACCTGCGGGAAGTTGGAGCCAAGAGAGGAAGGAGCCGAGAAAGAGGAACCCTGACTGCCCGCCTCAGAGAGGTGGAGGCAGCAAAAGCAGAATAGAAACTGATCAGATGGTAAATTGAGCAAGTGAGACACTAAAGGCCTCTTTAAAGTGTCGTAACACACAGAAATAACCTCCTGATTGGTGGTAAAAGAATGTTTTACACCAAAGCAAATTTATATCTATAGACTCTTTTCAATTTGCATTTTGTGCCTCTGAGACTGAACTTGTGGAGAAAGTCTACACAGTCTACAGTAAAGTTTATTTAGGACCTGTAAAGTGTTTTACTTGAGTATTTGCTCTTTATCTGATTGCTGTAGTTACTTTACAGATTAAACATTTACATAATTACTTCATTTTTTAAAGAATAAACCACGATTTCCCAACCTTTTGTGCTTGTTAGAATAAAAACTATGGGGCCCCGTTGTCACATTTCAGATGTCTCACCATGTTCAGACTGAAGACCAAAGTGACCCAAATCAGATTTATTTATTGTTGCTCATCTGCCAGTGTCAGTCCAACAGTCCAAATCACATCTAATCTCTTCAGTTCAGTTCTGATCAGATTAAAGTCTGTTTCTTTTACAATGTGACCTCAGTGTGAACAGTTATGCTACTCTAAATTGACATCGTCGTGCAGTTTCCTCTCAGGACCGTGACCTGTTCACACTGCAATCTCATACATTTAAAAATTAATGTGAACAGATTAATGAATCAGAATGAAGCAGGACTTTCAGTGGAAACATGACCTTTGAGTTATTGAGCAGTTTAAGGCCCAAAGAGGTCAATTTATCCAACAGTTCACACAGAAAGTGAAGTGAAAAGTATAAAACATAAAAATATATATTATAACTGTTTTTGTAATCTTTCCTGCCCCAGTAACAAATCTTATGGCCTCCTAACATTTACTGTAACTTTTGACCCTTTCCAGAAGTCCTGACATCTTGTGTGAATCGTGTGACTGATTTATCTCACATCATAAATAGTTCGAGCTACAACAGCACAATGCTGTAATACAGTGGGTCCCAACCTGGGGTTCGCCAAAGCTGCACTGGGGGGTCGTGAGGCCTTCTTGATTCTGCTTTAAACATAAACACAGTTGGCCTATATCAACATCTCTGGGAAATAAACTTTGAGGGCTTAACACGAGTTATATTCCTCATTAAAACAACCGAAGAGTTAATAGAACAATGAGAAGAAAACACTGAATATGT